CTTCTGTAAGCGACCCATCTTCACAATCAACTTGAAGCTAGCCTTTTTAAATTCACCTCTAACCACCAAAAACAAAAATGTTACGAAAGAAATAGAAAATGACCAACATTTACCTCAAATCGGATGATTTATATACGAGACGCCGTTCGATTTCCAGGAGCTGTTCGGTACGATCCATTCGACGAGCACCTTCATTACAACAAGTTACGATCTGTAATTCAAATTAACTTAAGGACTGCTGTCTCAGTCAAACGCTAGTTGCACCTCACGTTTAAGATAGATTCCTTGATTCAGACAGGGATTTTTCGCCGTCTATATCAAGGGATCATTAAAATCATTGATCCTTTGCCAGAAAAATTTTCCATAAATTTGAATAATAAATTAGCGCTTTAAAGCAATGCCCTAATTCGCCACTTCGAAACTGCAGTTATATGAAGTGAGCATACAGAAGCATTCATAATTTTCTATTTTCTACTAATAAACTTCTTGCGATAATGCTCAAAATAGACCAAGAACATCTTGAAACAGCTATTTTCCCAAGGATCCTTGAGCTAGTAATCTCTCAGGAGGGACCAGGCAAATGTCAGGATCACCAGCACGCTGATTATCAGATGATGCAACATTGGTCAAAGTAAGTGGAAAAGTTGCCAGCTGCGCAGTTACAGAACCATATTACAAACAGTAAAAGTACAAAAAAGTCAATATTTTTGGCGGATAGCCTCGGTACACGACTGAAAGAACTGCAAATCATACATGGTTAGCGAGGTGCAATGCAATTTGGGCAGTCTGATAATTCGTCGTATCTTGATGAGTTCGTTCCAGGATCGCAATCACCAGCAGTGGATAGCGAGTGACTCTTTGCATGGGTAACATCAGAAACGAACGCATATCTAGACCCTGGCACAAACGATCGCTTTCTAGCCGCTGAATACAGCTCAAAAATGATGCGTTTTCAGCTCTGCAATTATTCTACTTTTGTGCTCAAAATAATAGCGATTTTTGGCACTGTTTATTCAGCTATCAGCAACAAAACAGCATTTCTGGATTATTGTACTGATGCTCAGTGGGTAATGAAAAATGAAACGAGCAAGAAATAGGTCGACTTTTTTTTTTGACATTTCAGAACTTGCAAAAATTTAGAAATTTTTTAAAAAAATCACATAAAAACTCAAGCTAAAACATTAAAAGTTTTAGTCGACCAGAATGTTCGCATAATGAGAAGAAACGAAATGATCGCCAGTAAGCTGACTACTAGCCGATGCGACACTGGTCAAGGCAATTGAACAATTTGTCAACTGCAAGAACCATGCTACGAATTACGGCCAATTCATGTACCTCAATCTACACAGAAGACAAAAGTTAACTATTTTCCGCGATTTAACCAGTATTTTTTTGACAAAAGCTAATCTTCGTAACATCGGACCGGAAATTTCATAAAGTACCATAGAAAAAAAAGAAATACAAAATGTTTTTGAAAATGTACTACCGTTTACTGTGGCTCTGGGAATCCAATCTGTGCAATACAAATTCCTTTTTAATGATCAGTTTTCAATGGGCCTCTTCCTAGAGAAAGTTGCCCTAATGGGGAAGGTGTAAGGATTGGAACTGCACGGTCGAAATGAAGCATTGCATAAGCAGTGAAGTACGTCTGGCATCTCACTCTCAAAGAAACAAACAGGCGGAGGGACGGGCCTTAGAACCAAGAACAGGTTGGTCATTTGTGGAAATGCTGTCCGGTAACGAGGAAGAGGAGGTTCCCCTACAAAAGGCGTGCTAATATGAGGCAAGAGTTGACCAACTTATTAAATTAGTTACAACACCTTTAAAAGAGCCAGGTCCTTCTATTAGCATCTAGTGAAGCAAACTCGAACTTGAGTTTCCGAAGTGTTCGATCTTGATACACCTGATTGGAGCAATATTTGACATATGGGTCGAAATTGGCTTCGAAATGATCACAGAGAATATCACAAAGATCGGAGAGGACCAAGTTACTCTGCAGTCTGTTTTCCAAGTCCGACAATAACCTGAATGAATGCAACCTCATTCTTGACATGCGCATACCATATCAACTTTCTTGCCTTATACAAATTTTAAGAGGCAATGAGTTCAGTACTAGCAGGTAAAAAATTTTAGAAACGAATCAGAACTAGTCATTCACATTTTTATCATCTGGTCTTTGTTTGTTCCCTTTCCTTCCCTTGTTCAGTTCTGCATATTGCAGTTTACTTTTTTTTTGGTTATTTGCTCTAATTACAATTAAAAAAAAAATAGAGAGTCAAAATCTCCTTTGGACTGAATCACTACTAAAGGTGGAAGTACTCAAAAATATCTGAACGGTAGCAGGTACCAAAAACAACCACCCTTCAGCAAGGCTGCCGATGTTTATCTCTTTCGGAAGTTGTTTATGGATAACTGCTGACAATTTTCGAATCCAGAGGACTAGCGCGTAAGAATTCTAATTTTGTTTCAAGCGTGAATGAGAGGGCCAAACTTCTGTTATTTTTCGGTTTCTTTTAAAGTAACCGAAATTTCTAGTAAAACCATTAAACCTTTCACTGCAGTCTCGGACGGCGAAAATATTGCTAAAGAGACGTTTGCGCTGTTCGTTCGTAATCACAGATGACGGACCTTTTGATCCTAAAACAGATGAATCCATCAGTGTCTCCTACTTGCCAAACTGCTTTATCTTTTCAAATAATCTGTTGATGCATTTCGTTCATCACTAATTTAAGTATGACTGCCAAGATGCGCTAGAAAATCGATATGATCCGTCCTGAACTGTTGGCTCATTTTTATGCGTTTTTGCTGTGCAGCGCTATAGCGCTGCTACAGCCAGCGAAAACGCATATTGTCG